AGATTAATTAGCTGTGGTTAATCACACTAATTCATGATTTTAAAAGACGGGCAATTACTTTTTCACAAAGGATCAGGTAGGTTTAGATAACTTTTCTGAATTAATCAATGAAATCATCATTTAAAAACTGTGTTTTGTACTTACTCAGTTTATCTTTATCTAATGTAAAAATTTGTTTGATCATCTGAAACATGAAAGTGTGACAAAACACTAGGAAATGAAACACATTTTCACACCACTGTATATTCAGAACTAATTAGACAGCAGAGGAAATAACTAGTAGATTAAGCTATACTGAACATAATGACTTAATACAGTTCTGCTTTATAATTATTAGTACCAGTTGGATACAAAATAGTTCATAATGAGCTCCATATCAACAGCAAAATCCTGCTACTACAACTATGTTAGTAGTAATACAATCCCAATTCCAAAACAGTGGGGGTGAATGAATGCAGTGATCTGCAAATCTGATCATATTTTATTCACAGCAGAACACAGAAAACATATCAAACTGAGAAAATGTACTTTTTTAAAGAAAATTATAGGCGAATCAAGGGAGTTCTGAAAAATAGGGACCACAGCAACACATCTCAAAAAAGCCAGGACATGTAACAGTGTAGCATTTCCTCTTCTTTTAACAAAGTTGGAAGTTGGGAGCAACAAAAGGCTGGAAAAGTAAGTGGAACTGAAAAGAAAAGGCTGTAAGAACATTTTGGACTTAATTAGGTTTATTTGCAGTGACATGATTGGATTTCGAAAGAGAGGCAGTTTCTCAGAAGCAACGATATGCAGAGGCTCACCAGTCTGCAAAAAACTGCTTCTACAAATTGTGGTTTAATTGTAATCCACAGTTTTTAAAACTGCAATATCTAATCACCTTATTCACATAATATCATTAAAAGAAGGGCATCCAAGATTGATTTTCTCACATATTTCAGAAAAATCAATCTTGGATGTCTGTGATCTTCAGGCCCTCATTCAGCACTGCATTAAAAACAGGCATGAGTCTGTCATGGGAATCCCCCCATGGTCTCTTTCAGGGATTCCAGAAGTCACCATCTTCTCGTGGCCAAAAGTCATATAAAACCGACTGAGAGAAAACTGTCCTGTGGTCAGATGAATCACGCTTTGAAATACATTTTAGAAAACACGGATGCTTCCTCCAGAGAGAGACCATCAGAATCTTTATCTGTGCCCCGTTAAAAGGCTGCGTCTCTGATGGTGTGGGGATGCATCATACCCATGGGTTTGCAGCTGAAAGTTATGTAGAGATTTCACATCTATTATTTCATTTAGACGTCTTTTTCAGGGAAGGCCTTTATAATTTCACTAAGATAACAACAGCATGGCTTTGTGCTGAACTGGCCTGCCTGCTGCCCTGACCTTTCACCTTCTTAAAGCATTTGGAGCATCATGAAACAAAACAACTGTGACATAGCTGTTAGCTGCTAAAATCCTATATCAGATAAGAGTGGGAGAACAATCCTCTCCCCAAAGTCCAACTGCTGAGGCATGTTGCCGACATCAAATTCAGAATCAGGCGATATTTTTCTTTAAATTGTACATTTTCTGTGTGTGAACAACACAGAGCTGAGCTGATTATTTGTATTAATTAACGATAGATATTTATTTTCACTCAATTCAAAACTTCACCTAGGACCCCAAACAGGCTTAAGCTGTCCACGTATCACTGTGCTGACCGATGGCTTTCCTCTGCAGTGCCATTTTTAGGGTTGGCACAGAACACAGCATACTGTCCAGAGCATGTATTCACAGACTTGAGCTGCTGCCTTAGAAATATTCTATCATGGAGTGCAAGCTTAGAAGTGATTTAGATTGTGTGGTCACTCTTCCTCATAAAAAATTGGTACAGACCTGTCTCAGCACTGCTGCACTACGGCCTTTTTCCCTTTGCTAAATATCCGAGTACTGTGATGATCGCTTGGGTAGAAATGTGAGTGAATCTCTAATCAGATCGACCACAAATATTATCCCCGTTTCATTAACTCACTATTATTAGGCGCTATATTTCTCTGCCCTATTTGTAGTCTAATTTCTGTAAGTACCAATAAACGTAGATAATATATCTGTGTAGAAACAACTTAAGCATGCAGTGCAGCACCACTGTCAACACTTAAATAGTCTCCCAGAGTTAGGATGGAGAGAATCATCTTGATGCTGTGTAAGACAAAATGTCATCCTGCAAATTTGTTGAAGACTCGGTTAAAAAACGCTGGCCTGTATAATGACCTGTGACCTGACAGTCAATGACCTGACTGTTTAAAAACTTGTAAACATCTCTTTTTATAGTAAGAAGCACTTGAGTAGAACCAAAACCTTGTTGTGTTCTAAAGAACATTTTAATTCAAGACAACAGATATAGACGGTGCCAAATACTTATTGTATACTAATTCTTTTCTTTCCGCTCCACTCATTTTTAGTTGCAGCCCGAGTGCTGTCTAAAGGGCACCACGTTCTGCATAATGCTGAGCTGAGTGTGAGAAAGCCTGCCTCAAAGGACCCGCGCAAACTCCTGCTGCGGGGGATCAACCCGAACACCGACACAGAGATGATAGAGCTCTACGTGGAGAACACAATGGGACAGGAAGACTACTCTCTGTATCCCTCACCGGGGAGAGATTTGATCCTCATTCAGTTCTACGAACCGCTCGCAACAGGTCGACTGAATGCATATCTTTCATTTTTCTTAAAAACAAAGAGTTGATTTAGACCTTCGTGGTCTCCAGATAGTAAATCTTAATGACTTTGGTCCATGGATTATTCCTGTTTTTGTAGTAGCAGGCCGCTTGTGAAATAATTCAAATTCTACATGATGGATTGGTGCAGTGTAGTGGTCCTGACTGAAATATGTTGTTCATATTACAGATTTCCAAACACTTAGCACACAAATCTCTAAGAGGACACTTGATGGGGCTCAAGTAACCGTGGAACAGGTTGAACAACCCGACTCAATCTTAGTGGGGAATCTGCACCCTGGAACCACTCCGGACCACGTCACTTTGTACTTTGAGAGCAGTCGCGGTGGGAACCAGGACGTAAAGGAGGTCATCGTGCTGTCAGAGAGTACAGCAAAGGTGTCCTTCTGTAACTATGAATGTAAGTTTTACACACTGTAACCTTTAAAACGTGTGTGCTTTGGTTTCTGAAAATGTTTGTTTTTCCTTGAACAGCTGTGGATGCTGTCCTGGCTCTCTCACACAAACTTGAGGGTGCTGAGCTCTCAGTGAAGCCCTACTTCGATTTTCTTGTACCTGTAGAAAGTAAAACATCGCAAGAAGTTGAGACAAGCCAAGACACAACTGAGAACTCTGAGGAGGTGAATGATATTGAGATGCAGACGAGTCCTCCCACGGCAGCCAGTTCCAGCAATCACCCTGCAAGTGAAATGGCTTTGGAGCCCGTTGCTGCTCCACCTCCTCTACCAACAAAGGTAGAGGAGGTGGAGGTAGAGGAGGTGAAAGAAGAGGAGGCAGAGGAAGTCATGGAGGATCAAAGTGATGATTCAGATACAATAACATGTCATATTGCTCTCACAGACCCAGGGAAACATGCTTTGTTTCAGCATAGTACCATTCAAAGGGACATCAAGAACACGAACCCGAATGTTATTATCCAAACTAAAGACGATGGTGTTTACATCGAAGGACCTGATAGAGCACAGGCAGAGCAGGTTAAACAAACCATCATGGACTTTCTCTGTAACATAGCAGAGGCTCATTTCACACTTGAGCTGGAAAAGGCTCAATTTCTTGCCAGAAAAGATGTAAAGGAACGGCTTCTACAAGCCATGACACAAAGTGGCTCGTCTACTCTGTACACCGTATCAGACTCTAATATTACCGTAACGTCTCTAGCCCAGGACTCGGCTAAAAAGGCGTGCAGCTTTTTAAAATCCCAAGTGTGTTACTTCAGCATGCTGGCGGACCAGGAAAATGAGTGCATGCTGTATTGCAGAGAGTGGTCAGAGTTCCTGCAGACTCTGAGTTTCTGCTCTGTAAAGGTGTCAGAACGAGGAGGGAATATTGATGTTTGGACTCTGACGGGGATGGAGAATGAGAAGCAGGCCGCCATCATGCAGTTTCTGACCACACCTATTGAAAGGGAGACGGTCATCTCTATGGAGCCGGGCGTGCTGAAGTACATTCAGATCCACTGTCATCAGCTCTTGGCTGACATGGACCAAGTGTCTATTTTTCCACTAGAGGCCGAGGATAATTGTGGCTTAAAGGTGTGTATCAGAATCGCATGTAAAGGCTTCATGACTGTAGCGGTGTAAACGTCATTAAATTCAGAGTGTTTATAAATTATATTTTAACGTGTGTGTGGATGTACCTGACAGATCCACGGCCACGTTGTTGCTTGCCAAATGGCAGAGGAGGTGCTGCAAGGTGTAGTTTCTTCAATCTGCACTAGAACCATCACAGCAAACACTCCAGGAGTGGCCCGGTTTTTAGGTGAAAAGGAGTGTCAGAGCATTCTGAATGAGATGGAGGCAAAGTTTTGTGTCTACATCAGCCCCAAATATGTGCCCTGGAAGCCCCTGCCTCACCAGGTAATGATGGAAGAAATTAAGCTTGTTTCTGTAATCGTATGTGTTTTTCTGTGCTTTTAAAGTAAACTGCTTCCTCTTATCTTGACAGATTTGTAGGTGGTTGTTTCTGATTTTTATACCTCAAGGCTTGACTTTATTTTTAGTAGTAGTCGTCGTTTCCCACATTGCTGGAATAATGTTCTAGTTATGCAAAAATATACAGAATAGGACAACACTGAATATGTAGTGTATAAGACTAAGTCAACCACTAAACATGAAATCCAAATGACAGAAAATGTAACCAATGTGAGGTGAGCAGAGATCTATGAAATAATGAAACAGAATAAGAGTAAATCAACAAAAGATTTAAAATATAAGACGTCTGCAAATAGAAATGATTAATTAATAAAAGGGCAGTAAGAAAATGTTGACAGTGGATGCATAATCTGTTTTTGCAGCTGATCCATGGAGGGCTTACAATACAAATAAAATCTGTTCAGTGTTTTGCTGGCAGGCTGTTCAGTTCTACCAGACCAGAAGTGATGTGTTGTCGTTCTTTACAGCTTTTAAAAAAGGCTGAAAATAAGCAGCCCTATATCCTGTGAGTTACAATATTCGAGCTGAGAATGATAAATAGATGTAAGCAGGTTTAAATCCAGTAAATCTTTGGGAGATAAAAACAAATTTAATGATAGCTCTTGGCTGGTAAACGCTGCCCTTCACAACAGATCAACCCAAAGAATTTGAAGATATATTTAAGATTGTTTAACGCTTGCTCTGGAATTTTTAACTAAAATGTCCAGATATACAAAACTACTCATATAGTGTGTTGTCTTACTAAGGATGTCTTTTGAAGTTGTAATTCATTTAACATTAAGTTGGAACTAAATCATGCAAATGTTTTATTTATTCCAGGACATCTTTGAAGCTGCGTGGCAGATGATGTTTCACAAAAACTTCCCGAAAATGTCTGCACAGGAGTTGAAGTCAGATTCAATGCAAATTGATGCTTCAAATGGAGGTAGCATCTTTGGTTTCTTTGCAGGTATCTGTCAGTTCTATGCAGCTTAAACTGTGCATTTAACTCTTTGCAGGTCTTTTAGAGGAGGCGAAGAAAATCGTCTCGGCTATTGATGAGAGACTGGTGCACAGTGTGCCCACTTCAGACCAGCAGGAAAACATGGATAACGTAGACCTGTACACGGCGTCAGATGACCCAAGCAGCCTGATGGACCAGGATTCTGATGTGACAGCTGTTGACTCGGATCAGAACACTGCGAGCGGCTTATTATTCAATAATGGAGCTCTGGGCCATTCTAGCGATCTGGAGGAAGAGGCCCAGCTGTCTTTAGCTATCCAGTACTCCATGGAGTCGAGCCACTGGACCCCGGAGGACGAAGAGGAGCAGCTGCAGAAAGCCTTGGAGTTGTCCAGGAATATGAGCCAGAAAGAAAGCTCTTCTAATGGGGCTGATGAGACACCCCAGGTGCACCAGCCAAAGAAGGCTAATATCAATATTCCCCTGAAAGATGCAATCGAAGCAGCCAACACCATCCAGTTATTTGTGTTTGCAGGCTATAACTGTGACTTGATTCGGGTGGACATAGCCTTTGGTAAGAAGGTGAGCCAGAGACAGGTTGAGGAGAAAATAGAGCACAGGAACTTGAGGAATATGTCAGAGTACTACAAGACATGTCTGGACGTTATCAAGAGGAAACATGCAGTTGAGATCCAGATTCAAGGGACCATAATCACCGTATCTGGTTTCAAAGACTTTGTGATGGGAGCTGTGTGTGATGTTAAGCTGCTTCTGGAGAAAATCTCCAATTCTGTATCAGAACGGGAAATCCTGAATACTGTGCAGTGGTTGTGGCACGACCCAATCTCCTCCGTCACTGCTCCTTATTCTCCCGAAGCCACAGTGTTCATTGAGAATGCCTTTAGAAATAAGCTGAAGAAGGTTGACATCTTGCTAGACAATCAGCCGCACACAATCAACTTTGAGAAGATGCAAGAACACAACATCGCTTCGGGGAAATCAGCGCAGATCTCCAGGAAGTTGCTCGAATTAGACGATTTAGGTGACAGTGTACAAGGTAAAGTGGGATTTATTAAGCCTTTTGTGGAATGATGCTGCGTGTGGGGCCGTGAAAGAGACAAAATCCAGAAAATGATTAGCAAGTCAAAAATGTCATCAGCTATCTTATGCTATATCACACAACAGGCCACATGATTTTTCATATAACTTCATTAAAGGTGCTGCAGTAGCACAAATATTGTGTGAGTTCAGGTTCAGTGACTCCAATTAGCTGAGGTTAAGCCCAGCAAACAGCTATTGGCCACAATACACAATTGGTGTCAGCACACCAATAATTGAAGCTTTAACAGTATCCAAATGGACAGTTGTTATAAAACTGTCCATTTGGATACTATAGAGACAGAACTTTTTGACACAGCAGTGTTAGAGATTTATCTGCTTTTGCAGCCAGACTCATTTTTGGCCATTAGAGGAATGTTGGCTTTGGTTTTTAGCCCTTGAAGTTGTCTGTGAGGAATATTAGGTGTATTTGTAGTTAGCTCCGCTGTGTTTTTTCAGATTAGCACACAGTCAGAAGTATTAGCATTGTGTACCTGCATGCACCATTCTTAAAGCCTGAAATAAACTATTAAAACATAAAACAAAGTAAAGTATGTAATAAAGAAAGACGTTTTCATATCAACAGAGTGGGGAGACTTAGGGAAATGTATATAATTGTAACTACTTATTACGTCCACCAAGGTAAACAGCATAGCTCGAAAACCTAAGAATGAATTCTGATAAAACTTTGTATGGGTGTAGAGTGTAGAGTCATGTTAGCAATCTGTTAAAATTAGGCTTATATGCACCAAGGTCTTCAAGGTCAACTTCATGATTTATTAGTCAGAAATAAAGTAAAAGCCTTAAGACTTAGAAGTTATTATTCTTATAAACGTGGTGTGTATTTTCAACATTGTCACTAGATTAATCCGAAGGTCAAAATGATAATAATGCTATATAGAGCTATTTAAAACTATGGTTCTTATTGCTGCTGTTTATATTGACAGCATATGGGCACGTAGGGAATGATATATGGGGATTCTAAATATCACATTACTTTGGACGTCTGACCTTATCTGCAAAGTCATGAAAGCTCAAACATTCAAAAAACAATCTCTATACCTTTAAAGCTCTGCTTAAAATTGTCCTGTCTTTGTTTGTGGTATAATTAAAAAAGAACAAAGAAAACAATAAATATATACAAAATAAACTGATCCCTTCAAAGTGAAATACCGCCAAAGAGAGCGAGCTGCCTTGGTGGAGGCTTGCACTTCTTGTCTTTGATGTATGTTAGTTAGTTTTTCAGCTCCCTGTTTATTTTATTAAATAACACGAATCATTTAAAAAACTGAAATAATGCTTTTGTTTAACAGAAGACGACTACTCCGTGCTATCAAACTTCCCTGAAGCAACCAAAGTGGACGAGGAATCTGATGAATTCCAGAACGTGGTGAAGCAATTCTACGAGACCATTCAGGAATACCACAGCAAAATCCGAATCATACAGGTGAAACGATGAGCTCTTGTCTTTTTTGCAGCAGCTGACTGTGGCTTTAGTGGTGACTACAATCATTTTTGTTTGGTTTGCAGGTTGAGAAGCTCATGAACAAGCTGTTGTACAATCAGTACAAGCTTAAGAAGGCCAGCGTATTGCAGCGCGCCACCTACCCGCAGATCGAGCGCACCCTGTACCACGGCACGAGCGAGAGCAGCGTCAAGGAGATATGCATCCATGGCTTCAACAGAAGCTTCTGTGGAAAGAATGGTACGCTGGCTTTCTTTGTGTTGTTTACATCAGGTTTTGTCACATCTTCTGATGTTCTGGTTTCTCCATGCAGCCACCGTCTACGGTCAGGGGGTCTATTTTGCTGTGAACTCGGCTCTATCGGTCCAGGATCAGTATTCCCCCCCAAACGCGGATGGATACAAGTTTATTTTTGTGTCCAAAGTTCTAACGGGAGACTACACCAAAGGCTGCCATTCGATAAAGACGGCCCCGCTGAAGGAGACAGGAGATATCCCCCTCAGATACGACAGTGTGACTGATAACATTACCAAGCCGTCGATGTTTGTCATTTTCAACGACACACAAGCTTTTCCAGAATATCTCATCACATGCCAGAGAATCCACCGCTGAGGAGAATGGATTAGACGCCGGCGATGAAATTTAGAGAGAGAGCAGACTGCTGATGCTTTAATGTTTCTGCCTTCAGTTTAAAAAGCAATTTTGGTTTATAAAGGGCTAAGGTGTAATCATTTGATCAGCCGTAATCAAACCCATGAAGTGCTTCTCTGTTGATTGTTTCCCCTCTTTGATTTCCTCACTATGTTGTAATGTTATTAAAAGGAATCAAGCGACTGAACCCAACAAGCCAGTTTTCATTCAGTAACCTTAAACATGCCCTTTCAGCACATTTACAGCTCATTGTTCCGCAGCTTTACATAGACAGCACTTATTGTGTGACATTTGACTTGTAATAGTCGATTTGGTTCTCACTGGCATCACTCCCACACTCCAGTTAATATTAGCCTGGCTTTTCCTCTGTTAATGTCATTGTATTCCTATAAGTGGAAGACACGTTTTTGCTGACAGTACTACATGCACCCCCGTCTGCCTGCTTCTATCAGTATGAGGTTATTGTGAATGAGTCACATCTGATAGTACAAGAATATGACCCCTATTTAGTTTTATGTTTGGGTTAAGTTATTTGAGGTTTTTTTTTTCTTTCTTTTGGCTGTGCAAGAATAAAACTTAAGTGTGGGTAAAATAAGAGCAAAAAAAAGAAAAGTAGAGGTGTGTGGTCCACTGCTCTACAGCTGGACGCCAGTGATCTTCACGTACAGGTGGGCTTCGGTTGAAAACATTTATTCTTTGTCAAATTAAAAATAAATCTGTCTTGTTTTGAGTCTCGTGATCTATGTTCTGTCTTAAAAATTTAAAGCCGTATATCCATCACAGCTGTTGCACACGCCATGGACTGTGTGCTGCTGTTTTTCTGAACCAAAATGATCTGTGAGCTCCAGTATGTGTGTTGCACAACATGTGATAGTTCTTGATTGTCTTCTCTCTACTTCTGCTGATCCTTGTTTAATGAAGTGAGCACAGACAGCCTGATTTTAATTACAGTGCCTTCATTTTTCCAAGTGCTCTCATAAGAAGTCCATCCATTCATCCATTCTCTTCTGCTTATCCTTATCTGATCAATTCTTGGATTTTAATTAAGTCCTGGAAGGTTTTGGCCCTGGGTTTTTGCTGTGTTTAATTTAGATAGACTTACAGTTACTACAAAAGTCTTTTGTTTTTAGCATCATGTTTGTTGTTTTTAATGAAGAATATTTAGTTTTAAGAGAACTCCACTTCATTTATACGAAAAATAAAACTTTAAATGAGAAAGCGTTTGATGGTTGTTTTTTTACCCTATTTGTAGATCTTAGACCAATGTTGACCTATAACAAACAGATCTGTAGTATCTGCACACATGTTGTCCAGAATGTGCTGATCTTATAACTTTACATGACACATGATGAATGAAAAAGACGCTAAATGTATTTCGGAGATGGTTGTCGTAGCACACCTCATGCTGTAACAGCACACCTGAGGAGAAAGTTGTGTGGAGTCCGGCGATATTTTTAAAAAAAAGTTGCTTACTGTTTACAGTATAATCCAAATCATTGAATTTAGGTCTTCCGTGACCACAGGTGTATAAAATCAAGCACCTAGACATGCACACGGCTTTGATTTGTGAAGGAATGGGTCCGTTTCAGGAGCTCAGTGAATACCAGCATGAGACCGTGATAGGATGCCACCTGTGCAACCAGTCCAGTCGTGAAATCTTCTCACTACTAAATATTCCACGGTCAGCTTTTAGTGGTATTAAAACAAAGTGGAAGCAATTGGGAACGACAGTAGTTCAGCCTAAACTCAACAACTCATAAACCCCGTGAAAGGCCTTCCCAGAAGACTTGAAGCTCTTATAGCTGGAAATTGTGGGCAGACCGATCATATTAAACTCTATGGATTAAGGGATACCACTCAAGTTCATGTGTTTGTAAAGGTAGACGAGCGAATACTTGTGGTAATATTTCTTTACATTTCTTTAAATAAATAATAAATAATTTCCCCTAGGGATCATTAAGTATTCTGATTCTGATTTATGTTTCCTTATACATTTTATTGTTAAGGTGAGAGCAGCACACAATATCAACGAATCCTCATTATGTGATGTACCTGTAACACATGTGGGATCTACACACTCATCGACAAAACCTATTTTAAAAAATGACTTGCTTGGCGCACTCTGCTGGGATAAACCTGGCTTTAACAAGTAAGAAATGTTTTTGAAGCTGTCTTTCACTGACAAGTGTGCACAAATGCTGTAAACAAAATTGAGTAAGATAAGAAAATTAAATGCCATTAAAATGTAATTTTAAAAAATTCAAATACTGAACACATTACAATCAGTAAAATAATTTAGCTACTTTTAAAGAGTCCACAGAGTCAGCTAAATAAATGTAATTGTAGAGGGACACTGTTACAAAGCCTTAGCGCCACAGACTGATTAGCTCTGCCCCCTTTACTCTTCATTTGTTTAAGATCTTTACACACACAAAGTAACTCTGAGACAGCAGTTGCTATCAAAATGCTAAATATAGGTGGCGCTAATGTGCATTGGAGTGGTTGGCTAAAAAAAAGAACACGAAGAAGAAGACCAAGGCAGCCACAACAACGACAGCTAACCTTGCTATCGGTTAGCTAGCTTAAGTTAGTATCACACAAAATATGTCACGCTCAGTGTGAACAAGGGAGGAAACAATAAAGCTGCAAACTCAGATAACGTGACGGACATAGGTACGTCCACGCGTTACATTCACTGCTTGTGAAAACATTTGAAAAACTGTATCCTGTTACAATGCCATGCCTGTTACAAATGGGAACGTTAGCGTGCTGCTAAGGCAGTTAACATAACCGGCTTTTCCCATACATTTGCTATTCTAAGCTAACTAAACTGAAGCTGAGCCTAACAACACGAGTGGATATCGCTGGTTAAGTGAAACCAGTTATCAGAATAAATGCTAATAATTGAAAAACACAGACAAAATGTAGCGCTGCTTTCTGGTATGTTATAAGCTAGCTAGCATTTGATCATTATGAAGCCTGTTTAAGCGTACACTGACGTAATTTATAAAACGGCGCTCGGACTGTCTGTGCAGTTTTTGTGGGTAATTTTGTTTAACGTAGATACACACATACCTGTGTACCGATCGTTTTAGTGGTGAAGTGATGTCAGAGGTCTTGACGTGAGTGTTTTCACCTGTTAGATGCTGAGGGCAGCCTGCCACCATGTATGCCGTGTACAGACAAGCCCACACACCGACCTCAGTGGAGTTTTCTGTCTACTGCAACTTTATATCCAGTAAGGAGAAGAACCTGGTCGTAGCTGGAACGTCTCAACTGTTTGTTTACAGGATCATTCATGATGTGGAGGTAACTTTAACTCTAAGATTCCCCTTTTTCTTTGTGCCTTTTTTTTTTTTAAACACAAGCATAAAAGGGCTTTTTGACGTTTGCCACATTTGTGTTATTTCAGAGTACTTCAAAGGCTGACAAGTCATCTGGTATGTCAAAGAAAGCATCTCATTCAAATACAATTTTACTGTTGGTAAAAAAAAAAGTTTGTTGTTTTGCTGAGTCTCAGCTTTTCTTGCGCAGATTCCAAATCTCGTAAAGAGAAGCTGGAGCAGGTGGCTTCCTTTTCTCTCTTTGGGAACATCATGTCTATGGCCAGTGTACAACTTGTTGGAGCCAGCAGAGATGCACTCCTTTTGAGTTTCAAAGATGCAAAGGTATTATAGAGCAAGCAGTGTGTTGCTTAAATAAACCATGTTTTTTACCCCTAGAATTGTTTCTCAGTGACCTTTGCCTGTGTTTTTTCTCTCACCAGCTGTCTGTGGTAGAGTATGATCCTGGGACACATGATCTTAAGACACTGTCTCTTCATTACTTTGAGGAGCCAGAGCTCAGAGTATGTAGCAGCAAAAATAAACCTGAGTTTATGTTCATGTGTCAAGGTGACTCAACTGTGAATATAACTGTTTTTGTGTTTTCAGGATGGCTTTGTACAGAATGTACATATTCCCATTGTCCGTGTAGATCCAGAGAATCGCTGTGCTGTAATGCTCGTTTATGGCACCAAACTCGTGGTGCTGCCATTCCGAAAGGACACGCTAACGGATGAACAAGAGAGCGGCGTTGGAGAAGGGTAAGCTATACATCCAATTATTAAAGTTGATTTGTTACGCTCAGTTCCAGCTCAGTTGTTTTGATTTTTTTTTTTT